CCGGTTCACTCTCTTCATTTTGGACACCAACTTGGTTGTCCACAATTTACCCACTTCTCAAGGTCGTCACCGCATTGACATGTTCAATTGTGTGACCTTTATTGGTTTCTACAATGAATTATTGCTTTGGTGGGGCATTTAGAGGCGTCTTCCCTTTCTCTCTAGCATTTAAAGTATTAGATATTTGCCCAACTTGAGTTTCTAGCTTAGCAATAGATTGAGAATGGGAATGAAGCAATTGAGTGTTTGCCTCTAGAGTGCCCAAAGCGGTCAACACTTTCTCCTCAAAAGCGGGACTCCTAGAATTTCCTTGGGAATAGATGATTGATTAGGAAAATGAGAGTTTGAAAATTGGTTTCCATGTGATGATTGAAACGAAGATCTATAACCTTAGGAACCTCGGGAACCTTGGCTTTACATTGGAGGCGGAACATACTTTCCTTGAAAACCACATTGGGGAGGGTTTGAGCCTTCCCCTTGGCTTTTCCAAGAGAAGTTTGGATGGTTCCTCCATCCGAGATTGTAATGTGAGCCATAGGGACTATTCCCTTAGTTGACAAATGCAGCATTAACTTGTTCATGATGCTCACTTTGAGCATGTCCATGTGGACAATTGGAAGTAGTATGTAAGACACTAGAACAAGTCATACAAGATTCAGTAGATGCATGATGAACATGATTAGGGGAGGAAGACATTTGATTTGCCGAATTGTGGTTGACTAAAAATTGATCAAATCTTTGAGTTACGGATTTCACCTCAGCGGCTATGTCATTTGAATTGTCAACTTGATATAAGCTGACATTCTTCCTTCCACCTAGAATTCTACCATTTTTAGAGGACAAAGATCTATGCATAGAATTTTCACTCATACTTTCATATAATTGCCAAACATCATTTTCATGTTTATCAAGATAAGAACCACCCATAGATGCATTTATCATTCCTTTTTTATTTTCTGACAAACTTTCAAAGAAGTATTGGACTAATTGCCACTTAGGAATATCATGATGTGGACACTTCCTAAGCAAGTCATTAAATCTTTCCCATGCCTCATGAAATAATTCCCCTTCCCCTTGAGAAAATTCACGAATGGAAATTCTCATAGCATTAGTCTTTGATACCGGGTAGTACTTCTTTAAGAACTCTTGTTGCATTTCTACCCAAGAAATTATCGAAAAAGGCCTAAAATTGTTGAACCAATATTTTACTTTGTCCTTAAGGGTAAAAGGAAAAATTTTAAGTCTTAACACTTCTTCTGGCATGTCCGTGTATTTCATAGTGGAACACACTTCAAGAAACTCATCCAAATGCTTGTAAGGTTCTTCACTTGGAAGTCCATGATAGTTAGGAAGCATTTGAATGGTTTGCGGTTTAATCTCATAGCGATGTGCTCTAAATGGGGGCAATTGAATGGATGTCAATGCATTATATTCATTTAGAACATAATGATCGCGCAAAGCAATGGAAGGATTCCCAACCGGTGGTGCTAAACGAACACCGTGATTAACTTGAACCATGGGAGGTTGTGGAGCAAAAATTGGCCGAGGCATTCCCAATGGAATTTGGCCTTGTTATTGTGGTGGGATGAATGGTCTAGGCATGCCTAATGGTACTTGAATGTTGTCATGATACACATTAGGGTGGAGGATGCCTTGTTGGTCTATGTGACCAAGGTCCTCCACATGGTCGTCATGTTGCTCGTCCATTGATGAAATGGAGTAATGAGAACTACCTCTTCCCCTAGGATTACGAACAACCAATTCAAGATGGAAATTAAGTGGGACAAGGGTAGGATTTAATGACCTACGACCATGCACGCACTAAAAAAACAAATAACAAGTAATCAATCAAATAACAATCACTTCGCCCCCACAATAAATCAATCAACAAATCTCCACATGCAATGATCCCATACTCCCATGCTTGAACAATATGCAAAGAAAAGTAAATTGCCTACACGCGGGCTCACGATCTATCTAAGAATTTAAGAACTTGCCACCACGCATGCCGACGATTTAACTAAAGATTGAGTTAGAAAGATCTCACAAAGGGTCCTTAAGCAACTTCAATTCATTTTTCAATTTTCCGCTTAGCTTGCAAGTTTTAGATTTTAGCCTTTTTATGCTTAGTTTAGATCCTTGCTTTTCAATTCTCCCTTACTTGACATCCTTTGCTCAATTCACCTAGCCAATCAAGAACAAACACTATAAGTAGCTAAAAAGAAAATAAAGTAAAAATACGATCAAAAGAGTACTAATTCCTAATTGTTTCCAAAACACGACGTTGCCAAATCAATCCCCGACAATGGCGCCAAAACATGGTGCGTTGTCGTCGCGTGTGCACCAAAGTTGCATTAAAAGTTTGGCCAAGTTTAAATTTATAAAATACCACTACTACCTCTAACTACTAATATAGATAGGATGAGTAGGGATTGTTCCAAGGGATTGGGGGCAATGTTAATATGGAAACAAGGTCGGATTAGTAGGTCGAGTGATCAAAAGATGGTTTGATTGGTTACTTAAACTACAATGTAAATAGATTCAAAACAAGGTAACTAAAATAAAATAAAGGGTAAAGAATAATAGAGAGAGGTCTTGGGATCTAGAGGTCACTACTAAACATCACCATTCTAGATACTCAATGTGTAATGAATGAGGGGAAACATGTGTTGCAATATAAGGAGGTGTGATTGATTGAATCAACAAGCATGGATTGACTAATTAAGTATACATTGTCCAGATAACCTAGTGAATAGCACAATATATCAAACTAAGTCATTATTCCTTCCTTAAGCTCACAATCAACACACTAACAAGTTAGAGAATGATACTACTTGCATTCATAAGTATGGAACATCAAACAACAAGCATGGATTGTCCTCACATCTAGGAAAATAAGGCAACTACACTAAATCTAAGCTAAGGACATGAAGATTAAACTAATTAAACTAAGGTAGAGGCACAATCCATCAAGAAATGAGTATGAACCATCAAACAAACCACAAGAGTATTCTATTTAAGCAATATGCCTTGACAACCTCTAGATTCATAGCATCAATATACATAGACATGCATCAATATCATAAAACTAAGAGATAAACACATGAACATCTATTCTAGCATACATAGACATATGGATAGAATGAAATGATCAATTGGAATTATTAATCAACACAAATCATTGTAAAAACAAGATTCATATATAAATCAAATATCAAGACAAGATTACAACACAAATCCCCTCAAAATACAAAACATCAAGGTCTAGAAGGCATGCTTAGGGCTAACTCTAGCCCCAAGAAGATGTTTAGCCACTCATTGATGTAGTCATCCAACCCTCAATGGTCATCTCCATGGTAGGAATGATCTTCTTCTTGATGGAAACCCTAGAAGAATGGAATAACTCCCAAATAGTGTATGTCTCTCTAAGCTCTAGCCTCCTCTCCAAGTTAGATATGATATGAGATATATGTGTTATGGTATAAAAATGGCTCAAAATCTTTATTTAGGTAGCTCAAGGTCACACCTAATGATCAGGTCTTGTGCACTAGGGTCCTCTCAATGATTGTACCACGAGCCATCTTTTAATGAGCTGGACTCTGTTTTATTTTGGACTTAAGGAGGTTCGATCAATCGAATTCAGATGTGATCGATCAAACTGTGGCCAGATCCATCGAAGTATGGCCAGATCCATCAATCCTTGGCGGTGCCTTTTTGGAATAAGACAAATCTGAGATATTTTTGGGATATTTTGGGAAAAAAATAAAAGTGATAAGTGGGGATAAGATCAAGGAAGTTCGATCGATCTAAAGAAAATTTGATCGATCGAAGATGGAAATTCTTGAGAATAAGGACAAGGGGTTTTGATCCATCTTGGCAGGGCTAGATCGATCACTATGAGATCAATCGAAAGTATTCTTGATCGATTGAAGCTTGCTGTTTTCCACCACTTTGCTTCCACTTTGCTCAATTCTTCCATTCAGCTTGAGATTACTTTTTTTAGGCTCTAATTTGGCTGAATTGATTTATTTTGGAGATAAGTGCCTGAAAAAGGCAATAACATGAAATTAGTCTAAAACAGGAAAATAAGATAGATAAAGGTCCTAAAATACTCAAGCTTAAAGAGTTTAAATGCGCACTTTTTAGTGTTCATCACTCCACTTTTTCAATCTCTTCTTCAACACCTTTCTTTATCTCTTCCTTATTCACCTTTTCACTTTGGCCTTCAACTTTTGAATCTTCAATTTCTTCAATGTCATTTGTGTTGTACGCCTCTTCATTTTCCACAAATTTGTCCTCTACACTTTCATAATCAGCCTTCGTAAACTCATCATCCTCAAAACATTGTACCCAATACTCTATGGGTAGCGATTCACCTCTATGATTGGAAACGATGGTCTCAAGCATCTTCCAAACATAACTTGGAGTTTTGGACTCTCCAAAGTACTCCCAAATTTCTTGATGTATTGCCTTTTGCAACACAACCAATGCCTTTTCTTCTTTATTTTCACGAAACTTGTTGGATATGCCATTCTTTGGCTCTTCTCCAACAACATCTCATAAATCACATGCTTTGAGATATGAAATCATGATAATTCTCATTCTCTTGTAATTAGAGAACATCATCTTCTGACTAAGAAAATATATTTTCTCTTCTTCATCGTCATTAAGGAGAAACATGTTTTTCTCAAAATATTAAACCTTCTAGGATCAACTTGGTCAGGCCATCAAGATCTTCTAGGCTCTAAACATGAAATCTGGTTCTGATATGAAAGCTAGCTCTAACTCTGCTATGTTGGAACCTGGCTCTGATACCACTTTCTGACTTTACTCTAATACCACTTTGTTAGCTTTTTCTCTGATACCACTTAGTTGGTTTTTTCTCTAATACCACTTTATTGGAAATAGTACGTGGCTAGGCTAGAGACACACACAACTCAATAATATGGAAGAGGAATTGAGAAAATGAACACTTAGAAACATATTATATTCTTCTCATACTATTTCATCTTATTCTTTTATTCAACTTATTTTCTCTACCCATAAAATAGGTATAGTATATGAGTTTATATAGGCTCTAAAATATATGTAACCAATTACATTTCAATACCCAATTACTCCCACTAATCCCACTAAAATAGTATTTAGTAGACTTAACTCTTATGTCTTCCACTAACACAAATACAAACTCCCACTAACACGCAGTTAACACACCATATTAAAGGACTTGTAACATTCACAAAAACAGTAAAAAGCACATAATCAAGTTTAATTTTCAACAGGGTCCGACATATTTTATCCGGATTAAAATCATCTACTATGCTACAATGCATCGGTCATAATGGGTGAGTAGAATTAGTGATACACGTTACGAAAATATTGTGACTTTTGACCTTGCATCTCAATATTTTCATAACGTGCATTCCAACATTGTCCTCACTAGTTGGGACTGATGCACTGTAGCATAGGAGAGAGGATTTTAATCCTACTTTATCCATATAGTTCAGCTGACAAGCGAGGAGTGATGAGGACTTCAAGTGGTGTAGCTTTGGGGTTAGAGAGTCCAAAGCTCTCACTCATATCAACTGGTTCATCCACTGGAGTAGCAACCACAAACCCATGTAGCAAACTAGCGAGCGTAAGCTGCGTAATCTGAAGTGCAAAAGAGACTCCAGGGCACACTCTTCTCCCGCTACCAAATGGAATCAATTCGAAGTGTTGACCTCTAACATCAAGCTCTTTATGAGTTGTGAGGAACCTTTCCGGCACGAACTCAAAAGGATCCGACCACACACGAGGATCATGATGAATTTTCCAAAGATTTACAATGAGGCGTGTGCCTGCGCGAACATGGTAGCCACCCAAAATGCAGTCCTCTATGGCCTCGCGTGGCGCCAAGAGTTGTCCAGCCGGGTATAGACGTAGTGTTTCTTTGAGTATGGCTTGGAGGTAAACCAGGTTATTTATGTCTGATTCAGTCACTTGTCTTTCTCTACCAACATGGATGTCTAACTCCTCTTGTGCCTTTTTTAGTGCATGAGGGTTGTTGAGTAGCAAAGAAAGGGCCCATGTTAACGTAACTGATATTGAATCAGTGGCACCAAGGAAGAGAGTCTGCAAAATGGTTGAACCATGTATTAGATTAATTGGGCTAATTGAAGAGATAGTTATGTTAATTAACTATTAATTGTGGAATTACTATAAAGAATTGTTTCTAAAAACTAAAAAGATTAATATTCTTTTTTAATTAACGCATAATCGTCCCCTTCTCAACCTTACAATTAATTTATGTCTATAAAATAACTACTTACTGAATAATCCAATTACAAAAAGAAGTTGTACTCTCAAAATATGTTTATTTGTATATGTGCACATAAAGATGAATTCAAAGACAAGTAAAATCAGCAAATCATATAACCCAATATAAAAAATATGAAAGAGAAAGAGAATGGACCACATCCACCATTGCCACCACCACCGCCACCACTGGCAATGCCGCAACCTCCATAGTCGCCGGCCTCCACCGCTGTCACCGTCACTGCCACTGCCGCCAGGGTAGGTGGTGGCGGCGGCGGCGGCGGCGGCGGCGGCGGCGGCAATGGAGGTGGTGGTGATGGAGGTGGAAAACGCCCTATGTGGCAATCAAAGTTTATGAGATTAAAAAAATTAATTAAATATTTTTTTAAAAGATACTATCCATAATAGTCATTTTACAATTAATATTTAATTAGAAAAATTGTAATTTCTTAACATAACTATATTTTTAATTAATCCTAGGATTACAAGTATGAATGCGCATTCTACTCACATGCCCTTTTTTCCTTAATTACTGTCTGGAGTGAGTGAGTTTCGATCAAAATCTTTTTATTCCAGAAGTTGGTTTTGATCAAAATCATGTTATATTTTCTCAATCAATCAAATTGTCCAGAGAAGTACCACCTACCAAACATGTAGCTTTGCTGATAGTATCAACATCGAAAATGGACTCATCCAAGGCGCCATCATCATCAAGAATTGACAGCATCAAATCCATGAAGTCGTCTTGCTCACTCTTTGCCCCAGCGGAAACTTTTTGTTTATGTTCCTCAAGCCACCTCTGCAAAAAGCTGTCCAGTTCTTTAGCTGTCTTCTTCATGGCCTTCTCATATCCTCCCAAATCCAACCACCTCAAAAAAGGAAGTGCATCAGACACTGTAAAAACCCCCATCAATTCAAAGAATTCCCTTAATGCCTTGTGTAACCGATCCCCATCCGACGAAGCCATGGTGTTTGTCTCTACATATCGCTTCCCTGCAACAATCCTGACAGTGAGATTTAGGCTAATGTCCGCGAACCATTTCCTCATCTCCACCAACACTTCATCTGAAGCAGTCTTGTTCTTGACCCACAACTTGTACAACTCTTTGATTGATGCCTTCACCTCGGTTTCACAGACTCGATTGAGCATCACGAGCCGGTGGTTCGAGAGAAGTTCGGCTGTTGTAATCCTTCGCATTTTGCGCCAGTATGGACCGATAGGGCTAAACCCGAACATGGCATAGTTATAGCCCATGTGCTCCATTGCTACGCCTTTTGGACGGGAAGAGAAGGCTCTATTATTGGTGGTGAAGCATTCTTTAGCCAATTCCCAAGTACTAACCACCAAAGCTCGATGCACTCCGAGCCGGATTCCGAAGATCGGTCCGTGTTCGTCTGCCAGGGTTCCAAGGATTATGTGTTGCAGTTGAGACCCTCCTAATAAATGGAGGTGACCGATCAAAGGCCACGCACCTGCAGCTTCCGGTGCTACTCTTTTCTTACTAGCTGTGTTTCTGTGACCAACTCTTGACATCCATAGCACAAAGCAAAGAAGACAAAGAAGAAATGGATATATAGCAGACATAGCATTTGTTTGGAGTATTGGGAGGAGGTACTCCATTGTTGTTGATTTTTCTGTGTTTAAATTGTTTTGAGAATTCTTATATATATAAGCAAAGGCAATGAAATAGAAACAAGTGATAAATGATGCACGTCATCTACAGATTGAGAGTTCAAAGTGAGAGTGGCTGGTGAGTTGATTTTTAGTTTTTTTTTAAATAATAATTATAAAAATTAAAAATAAAACAGAAGTTAGGTGGGTTGGTTTTTAAATCATTATTGATGGGGAAAAAATAACCTAGGGTTGACCCAGCACCATTCTTCTCCAACTTGAGGATATAGAGATATTATTATTCAACTGACGAAGAGGATAAAGTAAACCCCAATATCGCAACCAACTTCATCACCTCAACAGATCATGTTACTATGATAAGGGAGATCTCAACCATCGACATGTGGAAATGATCTTGATTCCAATGGGCAGTCATAAATAGGGTATTAAATCATTAAATCAGGTATGAGAAAAAACCCCTAAACATTGAATACAGAATGACTTTTCTGTTATACGATTCCAAGCACTGACTTGATCGTCGAAGGGTCCTCGGCCGGCACCCCATCAGTGTCATCCGAGATGACATAATCTCCATTATTTTGCAGGTAAACGCCATCATTCCGGGTAGCGAGAATTTTTGCATCAACAATTGGGGCCGTCTATAGGAACGATTAGTTCCCTAAAGAAATAATAATTCTAACGCGATTTGGCTCGAATGGCAAGATGAAGGTTTCCGGTGATGGAAACCATCCCAAAGTCATCCGTTGACAACGAGTTTCCTCGTTGTTATATAAGGTCGGGTCTTTACATCATGATTCCTCGTCCATCATATTGGGGGCAAAACAGTGGGTCGTGTGATGCCACCTAGTACAATAGTCAAAATTTGGCACATCGACCCAGGCACTAGTCTAATATGGTGTCTTCCATCTAGTTGTGCTCGATCCCCTCACTACTGAGGCCTGGTGGCCCAAGACCAAACCCTTTTTACTATCTGGCAAAAGCAAACTACCAAGGCCTAATCGTCGAACACTAAGGCCTGGTCCTTCCGCGCCTACATAAACAGGTGGGTCTCCACCCACCAAGAAGATCACTACCAACAAGGGTGTCTCTACCTACTAGTAAATCCTCTACCACCAAAGATGTCTCTAGCAACGGAGTCTCATTACTTCGCTCATTTGTGCAATCAGGATGGCCTTTTACACCCAAGAATGTATCGAGGCCCTCACGTCCAAGGAGGTCCAATGTCCCTCAAGATCCCATGTCCAATGAAGTATGTATTCCAAAGAAGGTTCCTAAGTTAAGAGCGATCATTGTACCCAATGAGGTACTAAACTAATGGTCACCAGACCATCATCTGTCGGATGTTGGGCACCACACCCCCATCCAACAGGCATCAAGCCGATCGCTGGACACCAAGCCTCCACCTACCAGACACTGGTCGTCACCTCTCTTCCCTTATAGGAAATGCCGATCGACTTCAGATTATGTAGAATTTTGGATCGATAATCCATATATTGTAGGTTTTCAGTAATCATTTCTAACACAATCTAACATCTTAGACAATTGTAAATTGTTGTAACACCAGGCACCTCATTCGCTATATAAACGTCTATAAAATGGGTCATCACCCAAGATCCCACCATCATACTTGGGGCAGAATAATGGATCACACGATATCGATCAATCGTCGATCTACATATGATGACAAGGTTTAGAAGACTGACGTACTAACCTCTGTACATCAAGCTAGGCGGGCTCCTAGTCTCTCTCCCCCAGCGACCCCTCGGGGGCACTAGTCGTCCAAGACCAATGCCCAATCCTCCAAAACCATAGCTTAGTAAGCCTCTACACTCCGAGAAGGACTCTAAGTCTAGTGAAGTTTCTACAATCAATAAGTCCACCGTGTCCAAGGTGGTCCCATGCCCAATGAGGTTTTTAATCATCGAGCACCAATGATGGTCTCTTTTACCAGGAACCAAGCTTGGTCACATGCACTTCAAATTTGACGGGTTACTAACACCATATCCATAGAGCAGGGCAAGCATAAAGGATAAGTCCACGAAAGTGAAAAACTTTTACTCTCTTATTAAAGGGCAAGTTCATTGAACTAAATGAAAAAAACAAATGCTTATTCCCTTATTAAAGGGCAAGCTTATAAAGCTTGGGCAAAATATCCCCTTATTAAAGAGGCGAGCTGGGTGAAGCTCATAAAATTAACCCTTTATTAAAAGGGTGGGCTGAGTGAAGCTCGAAATCATTATTTCCCTTATCAATAGGGCAAACTGAATGAGCTTAAACATATTACAAACCCTTTACCAAAAGAATAAGAACAGCTACTTCTCTTATTAACAAGGTCGAGACAGTAATGGTCAAATAGATCTAAACATGACTCAAAAAAGATAAAATGGTTCCAACACCGAAAGTTAGATCATAAAGGTGCATCCATGGGTACAACCCTTGGGCAAGCACAATGCCTAAGGGTACAACCCTTGGTTATCAAAAATCAAGGCATGGTCATCCGGGACCAAGGCCTAGTCAACCAAGACCAAGGATTGATTGTCCAAAGTCTACAAAGACTGGGTCATCCAAGACTAGTGCCTAATCGACAAAAGTCTGGTCATTAGAGACCAAGACTAGGGCCTAACCTACAAAGTTCTAGTCATCCAAGATCAAGGAATGGTCACCAAAAAAAAAAAAATTCTCACCTCGAGAACAGTACCCGGAGGTGCTGTTCACCTAGGGAATAGTAACTGGGGGAGAAAAAAATTCTACCTTGGGAACAATACCCAGAGGACTGTTCACCTCGGGAATAGTAACCCGGGGTGAGAAAAAATATATCACCTCAGGAATAATACCAGGAGATACTGTTCACCTCGGGAATAGTGACCCAGGGTGAAAAAAATAAAATAAAATAAAATTTATGTCATAGTCCGTTCCGAACCAAGAAATACAGGGCAACTGATAGGGAAGAAAATAACCCTAGGGTTGACCCACCACTATTCTTCTCTAACTTGAGGATATATAGATATTATTATTTAACTAACGAAGAGGATAAGGTGACCCCCAATATTGCAACTAACCTCATCACCTCAACAGATCCCGTTACTGATGATAAGGGAGATCTCAACCAACACATGCGAAAATGATCTTGATTCCAATGGGCAGTCATAAATAGGGTATCGAGCCATTAAATCAGGTATGAAAAAATAAAAAAAAATAATCCCCTAAACATTGAATACAAAATGGATTTTCTATTATACGATTCCAAGCACTAACTTAATCATCGAAGGGTCCTCGGCTAGCACCCCATCGGTGCCATCCAAGAAGACATAATCTCCATTGTTTTGCAGGTAAACGCCGTCGATCCTGGTTGCGAGGATTTTTGCATCAACAATTATTAAAAATAATATAAATGTATAGAAAATGTGATTTAAAAAATAAAAAATATAGCCCGGTTCTATTACTGCGAGATTTAAGATGTATGTTGTTTTCCTTCCCTATGAGTCACAATAATAATACACCAAAACTATTCTCAATGAGTGATCAAGAAAAAGCGAGCACAAATCGTTGACCTAAAAAATAAGTGGAAGTTGTAGACGAGTTGACAATAAATTCTTGTCATAATTCAAGTAAGCGTGCACTCAAATCTACAATTAGAATGAACACTCCAATCTTATGTAAAGTCTTGTCGAATGTAAGGTGAGTCGAAGATATTGTAACTGTAGAAAAAAATAATAAATAATAAATAAATAAATAAATAATTATCATATTTCTATGCGTAAGATGAGGACATAACAAAAGAAGATATACCATACTTACTTCCATATATAAGGTAAAGAGATGACAACTCAAACCTAATTAAATTGATATAGCATATGTACTTCCATAAATAAGGTAAAGATATGACAATTCAAACCTAATTAAATTGATATAGCATGTGTACTTCCATAAATAAGGTAAAGAGATGACAACTCAAACCTAATTAAATTGATATAGCATGTGTACTTCCATAAATAATGTAAAGAGATGACAACTCAAACCTAATTAAATTGATATAGCATGTGTACTTACATAAATAAGGTAAAGAGAGATGACAACTCAAACCTAATTAAATTGCTATAGCATATGTACTTCTATAAATAAGGTAAAGAGATGACAACTAGGGGTGCAACTTAGGTTGGGTAACTCGAACTAACCCGAGCCCAGCCCTTTTTTTTATGGGCTTGGACAATTCTTTTTACAATTAGGGTTGGACTTGGGTTGAAAAATCTCAACTCGAATTTAATTAGGGTTAGGCTTGGGTTAAAGTGCTAACAACCAGAGTCAATCCGAACCCGAATTCTAATATTATTTTCATATATATTTTTACTTTTAAATACATTATATATAATATTTAAACTATGATTACTTTTTCTTTTTTCAATTTTTTTATTAAATCTTAACTTATTATATGTTAACTTTTAGGAGAATTAATTTTCTAAAAATTTGTTTGTAATTTATTAAAAATCTATAAAAAGTCTTTAAACTTCTTCTTATTTAAGAGTAATTTAATCTAAAACTAATTTAAGATCATATTAAATTTCGGTATAAAAATTAGCCATATGTGTAACTCGAATTAACTTGAAGTTTTAATCCCGAATCTAAGCCCGAGTTGCAAGTCCGAATTTAAAAGTAGAATGATGGATTGGGCTCCGGTTGAGTAGTTAAGGTTGACTGATTGAGTATAGGGTTTGGGTTTGGGTTTGGGTTGGGTTTAGGTTTAGCATTTCATATGGTGGGTCAGACTCAAGTTATACCTCAAACCTGCCCGAGTTACAGCCCTAATGACAACTCAAACCTAATTAAATTGATATAGCATGTGTACTTCCATAAATAAGGTAAAGAGATGACAACTCAAACCTAATTAAATTAATATAGCATGTGTACGTCCATAAATAAGGTAAAGAGATGGCAACTCGAACCTAATTAAATTGATATAGCATGTGTCCTTCCATAAATAAGGTAAAGAGATGACAACTCAAACCTAATTAAATTTATATAGCATATGTTCTAGAAATAAGGTAAAAATGTAACACTCCGAATTTTCTAAATAAATTCCTCGATTTATTCAGATCAAATAGATCAGGATTCACCCAGGATCTCAAAAGAAAAACCATTTTATTGATACAGAATCAATTTCCTCAAATAAATACAACATATCTAAAAATAAATTAAATATTTCCTTAATACCAATTCTTCTACCTAAGCCCGCTACTAGCAATCCAAGTTCATCCTCGGTACCTGAAACTGAAAGGGGGTGAGACGGGAGAAGTCCTAGTAGGAAAAATCATAACAAGAATTTCAAGAAATTTCATATAAAATCAACTTCACAAAAATATATATATGCTTTTAAACAAAATACATATATGCAATTTTAACAAAATAACATACAACAAAATATTTGAAACAAAATCATTCAGGTCATTCAAGATATGAAGAAGTCTACACTAAAACACAAAATAATAATTCTATCTGAGCACCAAGTCTAGGCCCTCCCTGCCTTCTCTCGGCATCTCTGTCCTCAAAACTCTCTCCCTATTGTTTTCCCTCAATTTTTTCCTCCCCCCTGAATCATTTACCTAAGTCACAAAGTACACAATATATAGACATTTATACCGACACAACAAATATAAAATAAAGTTCACCTTACGCCATCAAAAAAAAACTCATCACAATTGCCACTTTTCTTATCATCTCGTCAGATGCATTCATCTGTTTCTAACAACCTTGTGCAAGAAAAATCAAAGTGAAAAAAAAAAGTTGCCCAAAAAGTCTTTCAAGTGGGACCCGCCAAAACTCAATCATTATCTTTCCATCTCCCACTTTCGGCAGCCTCATCTTCAAACTGATACATATATATCGTATAGATATAAATGAATAGAAAAACAAAAACCCATTAACATCTCTACAGGGCCCTACGAAAATATCATCAATTGCATTACTTTCTCTAATTCTCAATTCGGCTGATGCAGCTTTACAGCACATATATATAAATCACATATATCTACAATTGAAACAAAACCAAACTAACTCCATTAATGTCTCCATTGGGGCCCGCCAAAAGTGACCATTTTAATCTTACTTCTAATTTACGTAGCTCTTTTAATCCGTATGAAGCTACATAATATATATATATATATACCTAACACTGTGGTTCGTAACCACGTACTCTAATCTTTTAAATTATAGATTCCACCCCATCTCCACTGGATTTATTCCCGAGAGTAATCTCAAAAAAAGGAACATTTCCTCTCCCCAGTCATTTCGGGTTAAGAAGATGTGAAAGCATTTTTCATTTTATAAAAACAGTGCGTTCTGAGGAGTGAAGTGGGAGAGAAGGGATGTCATAATTGGGTCATAATTGGGATTTTGAATAAGACGACCTTTTTCATTTTGAATTTTTTTCTTTTTCATATTGAAAAAGTATATATATATATATATATATATATGAATCATAAAATCAATCCATAAAAAAAAATTCAATTTGGTAAATCATCAAATAAAATTAAACAGTCAATCTTTGACAGTTAAAATTCATAGAATAAAATATAATTTCAACTCTTTTAAAATTCGGATTGTCACAAAAAATATGACAACTCAAACCTAATTAAATTGATATAGCATGTGTGCTTCCATAAATAAGGTAAAGAGATGACAACTCAAACCTAATTAAATTGATATAGCATATGTACTTCCATAAATAAGGTAAAGAGATAATGAGGGAAAGAGATGACAACTCAAACCTAATTAAATTGATATAGCATGTGTACTTCCATAAATAAGGTAAAGAGATTAACTCAAACCTAATTAAATTGAAGGAACACTTGATATTTCTGTACAATTTTCAAAAGAAATTAGGCTATGTTTGGTAAAGTCAAAAAAAAATGATAATATTAATTAAGAGAAAAGAAAAGAAAAAAAAATTAAATGACACTATTAACTACTTATTTGGTTTATTAATGAATGAAAAGAAACTGAATGATAGAAATTATATTTAAAGAAAGAAATAAAAGGATAATAATCATTATCTTAGAAATAATTAGAAGAAATGAAACTATTTTAATGAATTGACATCCTGGGAAATTTTCCGTCAATAAAAAGATGACAAGTAAGCAAAAGTGTCATTAATGAGGAAGCGCCACATGGACCAGTAGAAACAATGGGTGGGATCCGGGCCTATCATTCAAATGCAGCAACCCAAACCAGAATATCGATGGGTGAAACAAAGCCCATAAAGCATTCAAGACTGGCCCAATGTTTCGCAAAGCCCAGTTTGGATCAGCTACTTGAAGTCCTACATAAAGAAGGAAATTAACCACCATTTACAACCTAAAGGGTCCATTGGACCGGGCTTGCATGCCCTTCTTTGCTCTTGTTGGGCTTTAGTTAAGTCCTTGTGGCTCTTTCTGGTTTGGGCCAAAGGCCCGATATGTAACCCTATAATAAAAAATAAAATAAAAAAATTAAGATGGTGTATAATGATTCAAACATGTAAGCAAGTGAAATTATATAAGGAAACAAATATATACAAAGAAGGAGCTTGGTGGGCAAGCAAGGCAAGTCGTAACCAAACTCAAATCTGTAAATCATTATAAATAAGGGCCAAGATTCATGAACCAATTATCAGCAAATTCTCTAATACAGGTTCTCTATCAATTTGGTTTCTTATTAATTGAGAGCATTGGTTGAGTTGACTATTCTTAAGGAAAAATAAATAAATAAATAAAATAAAAATAAATTGGTATTAACAAACTTTCATTAAAATAAATAATCATATTTCTTTCCATTTTTTCTTATTTTTGAGAAGATAACAAACACTATTTATGCCTTATTGTATACCTTCCAAATTAGGGATGTCAATTTTTACCGCCCCGCCGGGGCCCCGCCCCGTTCCCCCCGGTTAATAACGGATATGGGAACACGTATTATACCGTTGGGGCGGACATGGATACAAATTTTGTACCCGTCGAGGGTCACGGGGCGGGTAAGGGTTCAATATACATATCCTAGGGGCCCCGCCCCGCCCCGCATATAACTATATTTAATATATATATATATTAATAAGTTATTTTAGCGACTTACCCAACCCATCTCTTACAATCCTAATTTTGGATGTAAACTTGGTATTAAATTTGCTTTTGTTTTGGTTATGGTGGAAGTTAGAGCTTAGAACTTCTTGTGATTTGGTTGTATTAAATTTTTATTTTTGTTTATTATGTTCTTTGAATTATGTTATGTGCATGTTATTTTTTTTATTTTTGTTAGAATACATAATTTTATTTATGTTGTGTCATTCATAGGCTTTGCACATTTAAATAGCAGGAGTTTAAGTTTCAAAAAGTGGGAGAAAAAAATTTGTTAGTGGGGCGGGTACGGGAGCACAATATTTCCTAACTGGGCGAAGTTGGATATCAAAATTCAACCCGTTGCGGATCTCGGGGCGGGCATGGACTTGACAAAAATTAAAAAGGGCGGGGCGGGATTTAGAGAAACCCGCTCCAAACCCGCCCCGTTGCCATCCCTATTCCAAATCCTTTCTTTTCTTCTCTTTCTTTCAATATTTCATACCAAACACAATTTCTCGTATTCCTTCGATACGATTCTTTTCTTTTCTTTTCCTTACATTTCCATTATACCAAATTGGCTCTCCCTAACTTGTAATTAGGGCTGCAAGTTGGGCTGGCCCATCCCAACCCAATTTTAACCCGAATTAAATTGGGTTAGACCAGCCCGAATTATACCAATATGGATTATGATCAAAACCCAACTCGAATATTTTTGGGCCGGTCGGATCTAGTTGTCGAGTTAAGTTTTTTTTTTTTTTAAATAAATTTTTTTTCCCGAAATTTATATATATATATATATATATATATATTTGATTATATTATTATTAAAAAACAAAAAAAAATTAGGCAAATCATTTCAGCCTCCCAAATTGCCTCCAGGCCTCATTCTCAACTCTCTCTCTTTCTCTGCTGCAACTGCAAAGTACAAAATCTACAAGAAGCAAAACTTCAAAACCCACATATTTCAGATTTGTCTGCAAGAATCAAAAGTTCAAAACCTATATAGTTGACTCAAAATTCTATCAAACGGCTGATGTTTGTACTAAAACTCTGTAATATAATAGAGCTTACATGACTGGCCTCTGAGAAATTTGGAGTGAGAGTGATTCGAGTAGAAACCCAGTTGTGGGAATCAGAGCTCGTGGGTCGCCGAAAAGTCCTTTGGCATTAGGTGGTCCTTTACCGTTCGTCTTCAAGCTCGCGAGCTGTCCAGCAACTTCGTATATCAGATCCCAAGGTTCGATCGGAGCAGGGAAAGGCGTCGTCGGCGGTGACGAGACCTGAGGAGGACTGTTTGGGCTTCCGTTGCTAGAGACTGCAATTCGAACGGACCAGCTTCCGATTCCGGTTAGTGTCGATTGCGGCGAATCAGGGCAAACCCATGTTTTCTGAGTCATTACAGAGGCCAAATCAGAACTCATTTGGACGAAATTAACAGATCCAAACAAAACAAAATAGATGGAATTCTTCATACCTTGGTGTTCTGAGTTTGTTGCAGGGTGGAATGAACCAACTGGCGAGTCAACCCGGAGAGAAAGTCCCTATCATCGTAGAGCCGTCGTTCGCTCGGCAAGAGGATCCAAACGACGATGTCGACGTTTTGATCCACCGAGTCACATTAAACGACTCGCCGCCTCATTCCATCAACGATCTGAACTCGTCCTCAAGCCGAAACATAGACTGCTGGAGCAGATCGTCGGCGCGGTCGGCTTCTCAGCGGCCACAAATGGCGGTCCTAAATTATTTTATTTATTTTTTTTTTTTAATTTTGGGTTGAGCGGAGCCCAACCCGAATATCTCTTGGTTTTGACAAAACACAATCCGAACATAAGCCTGATTTATAAATTATATATCTAAATTTCAAAATCTCTTAATTGACCCGCCTAAATTACAACCTACTTGTAATGCATAGTTTAAGGCTTTTTATTATTATTATTATTACGCTTAAAAATAAATAAATAAAACGAAAGATTTGGTGGGCCGAGCTCGTACATGCATGCAGATTGTAATGGCCCTTAATTAAAACTAAGAGTTGAAATATGGTCTATCAAGACAATACGACCAGTGGCCCTAAATTAAAACAAAGAGTACAACGTATGGGCTACGAAGACAATACGACCATCTGCCCATGTGATCATGTTCAAGGCACCAAGTTTAAAGTCCTATCACATCTACTCTATTATTATTTTTGAATTGAAATTAAAAAATAATAATTCAAAAAATTGAATTAAAATTTTTTCTAATTTTATTTTCAAGACTCCAGTTACATCCAATCAATCACAATCTATGTATAATAGAAGTTGTAATGGCCCAACTAACATTGAACATGACATGCATGCTCCAAACCCAATTGCCCAAATTTAATAAAAAAAAATAAGAGCCCAATTGCCAAAACGTTCAACAAATTAACCATGTTTGTGTGTGGGGGGGGGGGGGGGGGGGGGGGGGGGGGGCGGCAATTCATTGCATCATAACTGGCATCACATGCAGTTTGTGCATGTGACCTGTCATGACCACACAGCACCATCTCCTTAGCTCTCCACCTTGGGCATTGTTTTCTATGTGATCAGTCATCAATCATGATCCAATCACGACCACATATCGCTGTCTTAGGGCATACATGGTTTTGAATATATTGGTGGTCCATGACTCGGTTGCCAGCCCTAAAAATCATGTTCATTGATAGGTTCCCCTTACATGTTATTGAAGGCTGAGGTCACACTTCAAAAAAATGCACCACAATTGACGGCCACAAATTATGATCTCAAAATCGAAAGAATATCAACTTATGAATGGGTACTAATTAATTTGAGGTGCAATAATGTCTAATCATAGCGGTATGTAATCAGCGGTGAGGGACCGCGAAATTTTGAGGGGTGGCATTGAATATTTTTATAGTTTCAGGGAAGCATTATTAAATTTTTACAAAATGTGTAGTTACATGATGCAAAAAAAAAAAAAAAACAAATCAGCGTGGACGATTGCCCCCATTGAGCACCACATAAATCCGTGCACGGTGGTCAGAAGGTATTCACCGACCACTCTAATTGTGTATGTCACTCTGATCATGTATGTGTATAAAATCAAGTATTGATGGATAAATTATTTAGAAAATTACAAAAAAATAATTTAATTAGTGGTTTATATGATATTAGGACACTAAATATCCTAAATTTCAGTCATTGAAAAATGCTTTTAAGGTCGGGATTTTAACCTAATTAATTCAAGTTGTATGTAATCAATGGTTTAAAGACAGTCTTACCAATGGGTCACTATTATTTTCCTACTGAATATAAAGAAGTGGGATCATATGGTCAGTGATTTTCTTCATCCAATATTACTTTATTGTATGACAATTTACTCAATTCAACAGTCGGAACTAGTGTATATGTAGGCTGAAATTTCTTTTTTAGTATTATATAGTAATGATTTTTTCTTTTTTGAATTTTATATACTTATAAAATTTTAGAGTTAATATTATTGACAACTCCTCAGGTTTGACAAAATATCAACCTCAAATATTTTTCGAAAATAATTATCACTCAAATCTATTTTTACTTTTCCGTCACAATCTCCGTTAAAAATATAAAAAAATATAATTTTGCCCTTAATTTTTTTAATCATATTTATTCATAAATACTAAGTTACTTAAATGACCATTATACCCTCATTATTAAACCCACCTATCACCACCACCCGCATACCCGCCAATTCACGAATCCGACGTAAAGATAACATTTATATATAACATAAAAAATATATATATAATATATAACATAAAAATATATATATATATACACATATAGATATATATAAAACATAAGAAACAATAAAAATATATAATATGATTTGTAAATTTATAAAATATTTAGGAATATTTTAGTCTTTTATCTAATTATTTAAGTTAAAGAATTGTTTTGACAAAGTCAAAGGATATTTAAATCAATTTATATTGTGTCAGAACTGTGCAAGTAACGATTGGGGTGTAAATGAAAAACAGAGAAAAAGTTTGTAATATGAGTGATAATTATTTTCAAAATATGTTTGAAGGTGATATTTGGCCAAACCTAAAGAGTTGTATGTGAAATTAACCAAAAAAAATTTAATATTACCCTTCCTAAAATTACAAAAAAAATTCTCCCCAACAATTTTCTAAGTATCACACTTTGATTATTAATGATGTGGTGTAGTGATATATACCAAATCAACCGCGAACAAATCAAAATCAGAGGAGAGAATTTGTCCCCTTTTTTCCTTTTCTTTTCGGACAAAGAAAGTATAATTTGTTTGAAATGCAAATTAGTACAATATGAATTAACCATATATATGTTGACTAGCCTAGGGGGCCAGATATTTGTCTTTCCTAAATCCAATAATAGGGGAACAAATCCTCTAAAGTGACTTTGTCTTTCTATGCGGTGCATAGTACTTGAAATATATTTGACCACATTCTTATTTGTTTAAAGAGAGATGATAGGTCTTTCGACCTCAATTGTCGACTCCTGCTCCTGATACAACGTAGTTGGATCACATTGAAACTCTTTAAAAAAAAAAATCCGTAAACATCTCTTTCTGTTCGACTCATTCCCAACTACGTTGTATTCGGAAGAGAAGTCAGCAATTGAAGTCAGAAGACCTATCATTACTCTTGTTTAAATGTTATTGCAATTGCATTTGGATGTGACAATTACACAAAGTAGCTTATTCCTTCACCACCATCTTCACCCTTAAACACAAGGTATTCACATAATGCCGGCTAAATAATGTCACACATAAATGTAACTCAATTCAATATATTATTTATGTTACTATTTGAAGTTAAATTTTACCAAAAAAAAAAAAATTAGAGCATCATAAAAATCATTGTCATAAGTTAATTTAAAGAATTTCATCCCAATATTAAAGTCACTTGGGTTAACTTTAGACAATATACAAAATACTTGATGTTTACAAAATACTCTATGTTTAGCAAAATAATGAAAAGAATCATAACCTTTTTTTTTTTTTCCATGTATACATGACTCGGTCGACGTGAAGTGGCTACATGTCGACCAGTTGGGGCCTTTCGATCGACATCTAGTCCTTAATCATCGACCGATATCTTCAATTTTTTAGGCTAAATTTATGTGTGGTATTAGTTATTCAACACTATTTGAATACCTTCTTTTAATAGTGAAGGTGGTAAGTGTGTGTTTTTTTTATTTTATTTTTCATGTATACAGGACTCGGTAAATCGATTTGGGGCTTTCGGTCAACGTCTTGTCGTTAGGCGTCGATTGGTATCTTCAATTTTTTGGGCTAGATTTATATGTGACATTAGTTATTCAGCACTATGTGAATACCTTCTTTTAATGGTGAATGTGGTGAATGTGGCAATTAATATTAAACTTTGCCAAGTTTTTTTTTTTCTTCATAAATATCAAACAATAACATGTGAATACATTTATGTGTAATTGCCACATACATTTATATCAAATAATAACATAAATAATATGTTAAATTGAGTTACATTTATGTGTGACATTATTTAGTCGGCACTATGTGAATTCCTTATTTTGAGAATAAAGGTGGTGGTGAAGAAGTAAGCTACTTTGTGTAATTACCGCATCCAAACACAGTCTCAATGACACTTAAACAAATTAGGACGTGGCCAAATATATGCCAAGTAATGTGCACAGCATAAGACAGCAGGGCAAAATGACCTCAGAGGATTCGCGCCCAATAATAAAGGATGAAGAACTAACCAAGGATGACAGAGCTTTGTGTGTATTAAAGCTGCTGTCAAAAGTATCTTTCTATTTATTGTAACCATCAATCAAAAAAAAAATTGGTATTCATCCGATCACACTTCAACACATAAATAAACGTGTTAACTTTAATATGTTTTACTTGGACAATACTTAAGTTTGAGAATGTCATTATCATCGTTGATGTGAACCTAGTAAATGGATACATCATATTTAATTACCAAATAAGAGATGGTGTAGTACCGAATACTAGTTGATTTTTTATTGGTGCACATCAATTATGGGAATGGTATAGATCGTCGCTGGTGAAACCTTAGTATTGTCCTTTTTACTTAGGTTTAAGTTTGTAATTAGTCAAGATCATTCAATAATTTCTTTCAAATCAACTGTCCAAATATATATATTTCAAAATATATGTGTTTATATATTAGAAATTTTTATTTATATATTATTATTATTATTTTTTCAATTGGTAAGAAACTCACACACACACACACCACTCTTCTTTGAAAACTCCCACCCTCACCATTCACTACTTTAACAAATAGATGACATATACTGGCCACAAAGTCCTTGGGTATATATCTTAGAAACATGAATTGATTATGAATGTTTTCTATAAAATATCAATACAGACACAAAAGCGATACCAGATACTATGCATTTTAAATCAAATTAAAAATAGGATACACACCTGAAAATAATTTGAAAATAGAACAAATCCGTATTTATACAAAAATTTGATTGTTATTTGTTACTCATATTTTTCAATGTAATACATAATTTGAAAAGCTACATTAATTTAAAAGCATAATGGACTCATTTAATATTACACAGAAAAATAAAAATAAAAATCAAGAACATTGTGGACTATTGATATATATATATTTTTATTTCTAAAAGTGGATGGTGAAGGTTCTGTTGTGCTTTTGTGGGGTCTTATCACGTGTCGATTGCTTGAAGGATTTTGGAGGTTCAAATTTATTGACTAGGTATTTATATTTTTGGCTACTTAAACATTTGAACCGGTTCACTGGTGTTTGAACCGGTTCAACTGGAGTTGTAAATTTTGACTTTGGCTACTGTCAAAGTTGAACCGGTTCAAGTGAGGCAGTAAGTTGCAACACGTTTATGCAAC